TTGGTCCACATTTGGGCCATTTTTTGGTTAATTTTCCATTTTAAAATATTTTTTAATATTATTTTAATATTATTCTTAAGAAATACAAAAAATATTCTAAAAATTCGTTAATATTTACAAAATTTCTTAAATACCAAAACTTTTTTTTGGAAAGTTTTGTAATTATTTTAAATATCGAAACAAAAAAACACCCCAATTACAAATCGATTTTAGAAACAAATTTTTTCTTGATCAAACAGGCCTAATAACATTATTTTCGTTCTACTTCATAACTGTAATTTTGCTCCTGTTATGAATCGTAATGTAAATATCTGATATGCAGGATGTATTTTCATTCACTGGATCAGATTTGGCACAAATACCTGATATGCCCAAATCTGAATACTGGGGGTTGGGGGCGGGGAGATTTTGTCATTTGGGAATTGTAGTTGCTGGGATTTATAGTTCCTATAAGTGTAACATGCACAGATATCTATAACAGCAATTACAAAAACTGTAGATTGCAAATCACAATTTCTATGTTCCAAGAATTTCTACATTGAATGTGGTCCCAATCTTCAAGAAGGGAAAAAAGGATGACCCAAACAACTACCATCCGGTCAGCCTCACATCGATACTGGGCAAGATTCTGGAAAAGATTGTTAAGGAAGCGGTCTGCAAACACTTAGAAACAAATGCAGTCATCGCTAATAGTCAACATGGATTTATCAAAAACAAGTCATGCCAGACTAATCTGATCTCTTTTTTCGATAGAGTTACAAGCTGGGTAGATGCGGGGAATGCCGTGGATGTAGCGTACCTGGATTTCAGTAAGGCCTTCGACAAGGTCCCCCATGACCTTCTGGCAAGGAAACTAGTCCAATGTGGGCTAGTCAAAACTACGGTGAGGTGGATCTGTAATTGGTTAAGTGGACGAACACAGAGAGTGCTCACTAATGCTTCCTCTTCATCTTGGAAAGAAGTGACAAGTGGAGTGCCGCAGGGTTCCGTCCTGGGCCCGGTCCTGTTCAACATCTTTATTAATGACTTAGATGAAGGGCCAGAAGGCATGATCATCAAGTTTGCAGACGACACCAAATTGGGAGGGATAGCCAATAGTCCAGAGGACAGGAGCAGAATTCAAAACGATCTTGACAGATTAGAGAGATGGGCCAAAACTAACAAAATGAAGTTCAACAGTGACAATGCAAGATACTCCACTTTGGCAGAAAAAATGAAATGCAAAGATACAGAATGGGAGACGCCTGGCTCGAGAGCAGTACGTGTGAAAAAGATCTTGGAGTCCTCGTGGACAACAAGTTAAACATGAGCCAACAATGTGATGTGGCGGCAAAAAAAGCCAATGGGATTTTGGCCTGCATCAATAGGAGCATAGTGTCTAGATCTAGGTAAGTAATGCTACCCCTCTATTCTGCTTGGTTAGACCACACCTGGAATATTGTGTCCAATTCTGGGCACCACAATTCAAGAGAGATATTGACAAGCTGGAATGTGTCCAGAGGAGGGCGACTAAAATGATCAAGGGTCTGGAGAACAAGCCCTATGAGGAGCGGCTTAAAGCGCTGGGCATGTTTAGCCTGAAGAAGAGAAGGCTGAGAGAGGATATGATAGCCATGTATAAATATGTGAGAGGAAGCCACAGGGAGGAGGGAGCAAGCTTGTTTTCTGCTTCCTTGGAGACTAGGACGCGGACAGAGGCGGCCCTAGGTGTCCCACCCCCTCTCGTGAACATGAGGAGAACTTCCTGACTGTGAGAGCCGTTCAGCAGTGGAACTCTCTGCCCCGGAGTGTGGTGGAGGCTCCTTCTTTGGAAGCTTTTAAACAGAGGCTGGATGGCCATTTGTCAGGGGTGATTTGAATGCAATATTCCTGCTTCTTGGCAGGGGGTTGGACTGGATGGTCCATGAGGTCTCTTTCAACTCTTTGATTCTATGATTCTATGATTCTATGAATGTAACATGTCATTAATAAAAGACTGTTTATAAATAGAAGATAGTTTATCAATACTTTGTCAACACAGTGAAACTAGAGCTTCCAAAATCACAATTAAACAATGTCAGGCACAGTGACACAAAATAACACTTTCTATGTTTCTATGTCAATTCGGGGATTGTAGTATATCTATTATCTGTATGTTGCTGTGTTTCTTATTTAGTGAATTACAACATCATAACACCTGAAGAAGATATTGCGAAACAAGGGAAACAACCCGGGAGACCTTGTTGTGTGTCACGGTCACTGATGTTGTTTATGGAAGAAGATCTTTCGACAACATAGAAAGTGTTATTTTGTGTCACTGTGCCTGACATTGTTTAATTCTTATTTTGGAAGCTCTAGTTTCACTGTGTTGACAAAGTATTGATAAACCGTGTGTCACTGTCCCTGATGTTGTTTGTGGAAGAAGATCTTTCGACAACATAGAAAGTGTTATTTTGTGTCGCTGTGCCTGACATTGTTTAATTGTGATTTTGGAAGCTCTAGTTTCACTGTGTTGACAAAGTATTGATAAACTATCTTCTATTTATAAACAGTCTTTAATTAATCGTGTGAATGTTCTCATGTTACATTCAATGTAGAAATTCTTGGAACAGAGAAATTGTGATTTGCAATCTACAGTTTTTGTAATTGGAATTTATAGTTCAACTACAATTTATGGCAGGCATCCTCAGAGGTTGTGAAGTCTGCTGGAAACTAGGAAAATGGGGTTTATGTATCTCCACCAACGATGGAATTGAACCAAACTTGGCACACAGAACTCCCATGAATATCCAGGATGGGACAAATTTATTTATTTATTTATACTTTATTTATTTATTTCACGCATTTCTACCCCGCCCTTCTCAACCTCCCAGGGGGGACTCAGGGCGGCTTCCAGCCGGCACAATTCGATGCCTACAGTTAAACAAAAATACATATTACCAATAAATTATAAATAGTTAAACATAAAATTATTACAATAAAATCTCATAAAAAGCCAACTTAGTGGCCATCGTTTCGCCAAGTTCCGTATTTAGTGGGCCATTCAGCTTATCATAGGAGCCACCGGTGGCGCAGTGGGTTAAACCCCTGTGCCGGCAGGACTGAAGACCGACAGGTCGCAGGTTCGAATCCGGGGAGAGGCGGATGAGCTCCCTCTATCAGCTCCAGCTCTTCATGCGGGGACATGAGAGAAGCCTCCCACAAGGATGATAAAAACATCAAATCATCCAGGCGTCCCCTGGGCAACGTCCTTGCAGACGGCCAATTCTCTCACACCAGAAGCGACTTGCTCCTGACACGACAAAAAAAAAAAAAAAAAAAAAGCTTATCATAATCCATTTCCAAAGCACTTGTCGCCATTGTCCTTGTCAATCTGCCAGATTACCCAAAGGCCTGGTCCCATATCCATGTTTTTAATTTCCTTCTAAAAGAGAGGAAGGATGACGATGATCTAATTTCCCCGGGAAGTGAATTCCACAGGCGGGGGGCCACCACCGAGAAGGCCCTGTCCCTCGTCCCCGCCAGTCTCATTTGTGACAAGGGCGGGGCCGAGAGCAGGACCCCTCCAGAAGATCTTAAATTCCTAGGCGGGATGTAGAAGGAGATACGTTCGGACAGGTACACTGGACGAGAAGGCCCTGTCCCTCGTCCCCGCCAGTCTCATTTGTGACAAGGGCGGGGCCGAGAGCAGGACCCCTCCAGAAGATCTTAAATTCCTAGGCGGGATGTAGAAGGAGATACGTTCGGACAGGTACGCTGGGCTGGAGTCTTGTCTGTTGGATGTAGGTGTGAATGCTTCAATTGGCCACCTTGATAGCATTTAATAGCCTAGCAGTTTCAACATCTGGCTCCTTACTGCCTGGGGGAATCCTTTTAAAGGTCAGGCAGTGAGAAGCCAGACCTTGAAACTGCAATTTATTTATTTATTTATTTCGTGTACTTCTACCCCGCCCTTCTCAACCCCCGAGGGGGGACTCAGGGCGGCTTACAAAAAGGCACAATTCGATGCCTACACAATAATACAGATAAACGTATAAAACAGCAATTAAAACAGTTATAACAGTTAAAAACAATCTGTATATATCACAGTCAGTAAACCAATCTCAAGCTCCGCATTCGATAACTCAGAGTCCATACTTCATTCTACATTGTCTATTCCTATCAGTCGTCGTAGTCCTTTATTTATCTGCCAGGTTGCCCAAACGCCTGGTCCCAAATCCAAGTTTTTAATTTCCTTCTAAAGGAAAGGAGGGATGTCGCTGATCTAACTTCCCCGGGGAGTGAATTCCACAGGTGAGGGGCCACCACCGAGAAGGCCCTGCAAGGCCATTAATTGCTAATCAAGGTGACTGTCAGGAGCCGATTTCCAGGCCTTGGGTTTTGGAGCTAAAAACCAGGATCCTGACATGCAATGCTGATAAGGACTGTGCAGCTGGTGACCTCGGAGGGAGCAGTTGGCATTTGGCGAGAATGTTGCGTGGGACTCTTGGCTGGTGGGAAAGGAGATTTCAAACGTGGGGGAGGGTATATAAGGGTCGACCGGCGGCTGCTGGTCAATCCTGGCTTTCTTTGTGTCTGAACGTCCAGCAGTAAAAGTTTCTGATTGATTACGGATTGGAGTCCTGTGTCGTTATTGGGAACGGCTGTTGTGAGCTGACATTGACCCTGGACATTCCAAAGATATATAAACCCCATTTTCCTAGTTTCCAACAGAACTCGCAACTTCTGAGGATACCTTCTATAGATGCAGGCGAAACATCAGGAGAGAATGCTTCTGGAACATGACCATACAGCCTGGAAAACTCACAACAACCCAATGTAAGATTTGTAAGATAATAGCATAGATTTCCAAGATTTTTGTCATTTCTCCTTACATTCACATGACACACACATTGCAGCTGACAGACTAATGTGTCACTACACAGTTTGAAAAGCTCTGTTGTATCCCGTGCAACTGCTAAATTGCTATCACCAGCTCAGAACACAATTTCTACACAATGTCAAGTCTTGTTTGGACCTACCTGAACTCCAATGGAGGGGCGCCACTTCCTCTGGCGAGCCAGACTCCGCAGCTCTTCCCTCCCGGGGATCGTCCGGATGATAAGGGTGGACGGTTTGGGGGCAGTCCTGGCTTGGAGGGAAGGCAAATCCAGGGACATGGCAGTGATCTTGGTGCTTTCCAAACTCTCAGTGGAGTTGCAGCGCTTGGCGGCCTCTTTGGACCACGAGGAGGGGCTCCGGCTGACCTCTCGGGGCAGGAAGCTGTCATGGGTGGACTCGCTACTGCTTTGCGTGGTCACGGCTATGAGGGGCTTGGCTTTGATTCCTGAAGGGAGGGCTGGCGGAGCTTTCCTGTAAGAAAAGGCTACGAGGAGATGGGGTAAGGAGAAGGAGAAGGAAAATAAGCAAACATGAAGACAAAGAAAGACAAGGACCTGTGACTGTTACATTGGGTGAAACAATCCCGCTGCACCCAGAGATCTGGAAGAGTTGGACCATTGCACTCTGAATCATATTTAGACTCTGAACATGCAAAAAGTACCCAAATGGAGTGTAACAGTGGGTGACAGACTTTGGAAATATTTAATATGGCAAATAGGTTTATTTGAGCAAGTTAGTTCAGAAGAAATTTGTCATGGAGTTGGAGAGATTTGAATTCAGTTTTCCAGAGATATAGGACCTCATCACATTGAGGTCCTGAAGCCGGGGAACAGCAGGGGCATTCATTGGGCAGCGGGGCATATCCAGCTCCCCCCGCCCCCATGCTTTCCCCATTCTACCTTATGAGAACATGGGAAGCCTCCCATGTTCTCCTTGCTCCATTGCAGGATGCTCCCAGCACAGTTCGTTGACAGGAGCCTTCCAGAAATTGCTGTGTGTCGTTTGATGGGACCCGGTGAGCTCTGTTCGGGAACTGTGTTTGAAGCATCCTACGATGGGTCTGTTTGCTGTGTGATGAAGTCGTAAGTCTAATTCTCATAGAAAGTTGGGATAGGAACCATTTTAAAAATGCAAAAGAAGTGCTTACATCCTTAACAGAATGGCTTGTTGTAGACCAGGGTGAGCTAGGAGGCAGCTCAGTGGAAAATCAGATCCACGTTCGAATTCTGGCATTTCCTAGCTTACTTGGGAAATAAAGCCATCTAAGCAGCTGCTGCCAGTCAACAAAGACAATACTGGGCTAGATGGACCAGTAAGGTAAAGGTTTCTCCTGACATTAAGTCTAGTTGTGTCCAACTCTGGGGGGGGGGGGGTGCTCATCTCCATTTCTAAGTTTTTATTGTCGTGTGAGGAGAGACTTGAGAAACTGCAAGTCGCTTCTGGTGTGAAAGAATTGCCTGTCTGCAAGGACGTTGCCCAGGGGACACCTAGATGATTTGATGTTTTTATCATCCTTGTGGGAGGCTTCTCTCATGTCCCCGCATGAGGAGCTGGAGTTGATAGAGGGAGCTCATCCGCCTCTCTCCAGATTTGAACCTGCGATCTGTCGGTTTTCAGTCCTGCCAACACAGGGGTTTAACCCACTATGCCACCAGGGGCTCCTAAGCTGAAGAGCTGGTGTTGTTCATAGACACCTCCAAGGTCATGTGGCTAGCATGACTACATGGAGTGTTTTACCTTCCCGCAGAAGTGGTATCTATCGATCTACTCACATTAGCATTTTTTCAAAATGCTTAATTGTCAGAAGCTGGCGCTAACAGCAGAAGCTCACCCCCACTCCCTGGATTTGAACCACCAACCTTTCAGTCAGCAAGTTCAGCTGCTCAGCGGTTTAACATGCTGTGCCACTAGGATTCAGGCATTTGCTTGTCAACCAGGATTGACATTAGGTTGATTGCTATGGAAGCTGAGGATCCACTCCTAGTTTCACAGTTGTCCTCCTGGGTTATGTAGGCTCAGTCTTAGTGCTCAACTTCTCCTAGGATTCTGTTTGGGAGAGCTCTCTCACCACTCTGTGGCATGGCTCATTGTAAATTCAGAAGTAGATTTCCACCGTTATGGCAATGAATAATCTTTCAACAGAAGGACACCAAGGATGGGTCCAATCCTGAGTTCTCAAGAAGGAGGCTTTAAAGCTAAGGAACAGTCAATGAAATACTTACAGGTGCTTGGCTTGAGGATGCTGCTGGTGAGGGGCTGGCCATGGCCGGGCTGGTGGGTGGTGGTGGCCATGGTGAAGAGAGAGAGGCAGTCGTCGTCCTGGGAGCAGCCAGCCTGGATGGCCCTCAGGTAGCTATGGCTACGCATGCGGAAGCAACCTGGCAGGTCCAGGGCCTCCACAGCCTGGGATTCCACCTCTCCAAACACGGACTCACACACAGCCTCAAACTGGTGGTTCAACTCGTCATTAATCTGGGAGAAAAGGAGTGGAAAATAGAGGGATGGAGGTTGGCAGTGAGAATGCTGCTGGTGAGGGACTGACCGTGGCTGGGCTGGTGGGTGGTGAGTCTTGACCTGGACATTGTTTCAGATAGTACATGACAACAAACCCAACTTTGTTGCCAAGGGTATACTCAATGGGAAGTTCCACTCCAAGTCAGCTCTTTTGTGAGTACACAGTATGACCTTCATATCCATGGGGATATGTTTTTGAATTACAGGAAACCATGGATAATCGTGAACCCTACTAAAATGAATGACTTCTGCCTGAAAATTTCTATCTAGGAATTTGTTGGATCCTCCAGGTCAACTCTACGTTAATGTTCCACAGAAGTATAACACATATGGCACTTTTTGGGGATGGAAGTATAATTTAAATCTTGAGGGGCATGTTGAAATGTCTGTTGCAATAATGGATTGGCCTTGTTCTTTTGGGTGGGGAAACCAAATTAACATTTTAAACCATTTCAGACTCATTTTAAACCAATTTAAACTCTTGCGAAGAATCACAAGTGGATTTTCCCACCAGTAAATGTCAAGGAAGTCACTGGAGAGAAAGGGAGAAGATGGAGGCCTGTGGGTTTTGGCAGCTGATGGCTAGGAGTGTGGGGCAGAAAGTTGCAAGATCTCAGCATTTCTCTCTTGAGTTTTACAAGCCTTCAATCAAGAGGTCTATTGTCTTCTGTAAGTTTCTTGAAGCCACATCTACTCTCTTTTGCCACCAAGAATGAGACACTTCTCTGCAAAAAACTGCATATGTGCCACATCTTTTATGGGGTGGTGTCTTATGTAGAGTAAGAGAACAAACAGGTCCTGTTGATTCAGGGTCAGTCTGATGACCCCACCTTTACATTTCTTGCTCTCAATGACATCTTGTAGCAACAAGTTTTGTCTTCCGTGTCAACAAGAAGTCATGGATTCTCTTCATGTTTTAATCTTGACTTTGAAGGACCTCTCCAAGGTGCTGAACTTTCTCTTCCAAATCGTTTCAGCACTTTGGATTGTTTCTCTCCCAGGTGCCAAGCCTGTTGGGTTTTATCCCTGGACTGCACAAGTCTCTTGTATCATCAAGTCTCCAGTTCTCAATGAGTAGTTAGACTAGAGACAGGATTAGAGCGAGGGATTCCTCCCTCCACATTCCTATGCATGCTTTTCCCAGAAGGGTCTTTGTTTTCATTCTTCCTCCTTTCCACTATCTCCTCTCTCCTTGCCACTATCTCCTCCCCTTTGAAGATGTAGCAATGTAATCTCTGTGAGGCCACTTCCTTTTTAAAGGTGTTTTAATTGCCCTGGGATTGGTCATGTGGTCAGCCTTCATTTTTCTTTTCTGCCTTTTACTTCCTTCCAGTGAAGACGCATTTTGCCTCTCTCTCTAGGCAAAATGTAGTTGCATGGATATTTTGACTTTTTAACCTTTCCTAGAGAGTTTGGAAGCTAGTTAGCACCAAGACCTTTTCTATCTGGAATGTATTTCTTTTCTTGAATAAATATTTTTGAACCTAAAGTTCGGACTCTGCAAGCCTGTGCCGCCCTGTTGAATGGAAGCTTATCCTGGTTCACAACATGTAAGTTTCCGCTGTCTATGAAGTTTACTTCTAGTACTCTGCTATATTTATGGTGGAATCACCCCAACTGAGGGTTATTTTGAGCCTAACAGCTCAGATTCCCCAACAAAGCCTATTCCTCCAAGTAGTGTCAACATCTTGAATAGCTCGTACAACATTTATTCAAAAATCTGAATAGCCAACCCCACTGATATGGAGGCTACCGATCACAGGGACTTGCTTTCTGGCTTGCAGCTAAAACAAGAAAGACAGGCAGAGACTCAGAAATGCTGAATTTGCACAGTGGTTTCAGAGATTCCATCACACGCTAGTCTGAAGAGATTGTCTGCTGTGTATACAAGAATGTGGAAATGATAATAGTTTGGTGGTGAGTCATTATAACATTTTTTTAACAAAGGAGACGGGCTCAGCAGGAAAAAGAACACTCTTATTGCTAGTCTCAACTTAAGTAGACCTTTCTAACTCAGTGGGATTTGCCAAGGTGTTAATTTTCAGACTGATTCAGCACTTGATTCAATGGGCTGTTCTAGTTGGGACTACCAATAGTACCCAGAGTACTGACTTTCATATCTGAAGGGCTTTTATGAGTGACTGCGCAGGACAGCATTTAATAGGCGAGTGCTATACTACTTCAGCTCTTAATAATAATAGTTGAGACCCTGCATAAAAAGAGACATAGTGTAATTTTATGCTCACAGTCACACCTTGATTGTGCAATAGCAGCATTGCAATGTTACATGACTCAGTGTTCCCAAAATACACGTTTTAATTTGGCATCAGAATGAAAGCAGAGTTGGCACCAATCTGGCACTGACAACATTATATCATCATTGTGCTTTCTCAGAAGAATGTAGAGTAGAGTCTCGCTTATCCGACATAAACGAGCCGGCAGAATGTCGGATAAATGAAAATGTCGGATAATACGGAGTATCCTACTGTTACTCATCCAACGCGGCGCTAGACACCTAGAATACTAACAGGGACTCATAGTGTTAAGGCAAGGCAATGCCCTGGAGCTCGAACGGCTCAGCAGGAAGTTCCTGGATGCAGAAGAGGGGCGTGGAAATCACAAAGGGAAGGAAGGATGCTTCCACTTTCCCCTCTTTCCTCCTTCCTCCTCCTCCTTGTCCTGCCGTTTGCAGTTACTGGGAATGGAGAGAGAGTCGGGGATCATTCCTTTAATTGAAGGGGAAATGCTGGAGGAAAAGGGCGACATTGGATAAGAACATCGTATAAGACGGAATGTCAGATAAGTGAAGTCGGATAAGCAAGACTCTACTGTATTGTGTTTCTTGGTGTACTTTTTTTAATTGCTGGGGGCTGGTTTGGAGAGAAAGTTTGAATATATATCCAATAAATACAGTAAACAGACAGGCATGAGCATGTTCCCAGCAAATGCGAGATATAAGCAAGGCAAGCAAAACCTATATATGGTCTCATGAGCTTGCCATGCACCAGGACCAAGACTCGCAGTCAAGAAGCTCCTGTGCCAAATGCAGTGTGATGGACACTTCTGGGATCTGAATGCACACAACTATTTAGAGCAGTGGCCAAAGCAAGGCATACAGAGCATGCACCACAGCACTGAATGAAGAAAGCAAGTTGTTGCCTTGCGTCACATTCTTGCAGCCTAAATATGCTTTTTCGGTAGCAGACATAGGGCTTCTTTGTTAGCTCTACAGCTAACACCTCTTTGTTAGCTCTACAGTAGCACTTAGCTGCAGTATCTGCCACTCCAAACTTCACAAAGGAAGAGAAAAGTGTTCTTTTTGGTCAAAGGGAATTTTTCACAGAGCACCATCTAAAGGAAATGGAGGGGCAACAGCAGCTTTTGCTTCTGCAAGCAATCCACAATCGCAAAGCTTGGAAAAGTCCATTTGGGGACTTCAAATCTCCAAGTCCCTTATCCAGAATGGCTTCTGACCATGCTGGTTGAAGAATTCTGGGAAACAGTCCAAAAAAGCGAAACCCTTTCCAGGCTTTGCATAGATAAAATGCTTTTGGGATCTAGATATGCAAGGAAAAGGTCACAGAATTGAATCTGTTCCCCAAACTTTTTGGCTTCCCATTTTATCCCTACGAAAGGATTTCTTTCTCTATCCCAATTATAGAAAAATATCCTTAAGTAGGGATTTGGGTAGACTCTTATGTTCCACTTTCCAATCACGTTTCCACAGCGAAAGTGTCCACATTTGAGGTTATACTGCATGATTCCTATTAATGTCTCTCATTCTTGCTGCCTTCTTTCTTGACCCACTTTCCCATTGACACCCCAAAAGCGAACAACCGAAGCACCTCACCTGCCCGGTGGTGAAGGAACGTCCATACCCTTGTCCCCGTGGCCGGATTCGGGGTGACGTGCAGCAGCTGGGACAGTTACAGATATATGAGTCAGAATAGTGTCTACTTGCAAACCTAATGAAAGACATGGGGAAGAAAGGTTTCTGAACTGAGCCTGAAAGCATAACATGAGCAGAATAAATGGAAATGATTCTGGGCATGGTCTTCTGGAATGCCAGAAAAGTCTGGCTGGAGCAGACCAAAGACCTATCTAGCGTAATGCTCTGTTTCCTGGGCAATGGTCAAACACATAGGAAGCCCAGAAGTAGAATATGAGTGTTCAAAAACAGATACTCATCCTCCGAGTCACAGATGAAACCAAGACATATGTGGCCAAGTAGCATCAGAGTGTGGTCAATCACTGGCCATTGGCCAACACACATTTTGGTGCCTCAAACGTTAGCCCTGTTTCTGGGTATATCTGACCCGCTGATTCCAAAAACAGCACAAATTTCCCCCAGTGAGCTCTAGTTTTTGAGATACAGAACATATGCTGGGTTGCTTTGAGTTTTCCAGGCTGTATGGTTATGCTCCAGAAGTATTCTCTTTTGACGTTTCACCCACATCTATAGCAGAGATTGAGAGATCTGTTGGAAACTAAGTAAGTGAGCTTTATATATCTGTGGAATGTCCAGAGTGGGAGAAAAATCTTGTCTGCTTGAAGTATGTAATGAATCCCTTACCTTGGCAGGCTAGCTTGGGCCTAAGAGAGTGGGCCTGGCGAAACCACGACATCCATTTTAGAGAAGGGAGACAGGAAGACGCCATCTTAGGTTAGGTTTGCTTTAAGGGGGCATGTTCTAGTCTTGAAGGAAAAAGTGACTTTTAAACTGAGGCTTGAGTTCTCAGATTGCCAGTTGGGAGTTGAGAGTTGGAGCTTGGAAAGGGTGTTAGTGAGAGCACTTTGGGGTTTTGCAGAAGGACTTTGGGTCAGTCTTCTGTTTAGTATTCAGGGTAGCTATAGAGAAGTATAGCTAGAATTGTGTGGGAGCAGAACCCTGTTAGTGGTCTGTTCTTTTCCTTAAGGAAGGCTAGTTCAGGTTTTGGCTAGTTTCCTAAGGGGGATTTTTTTGTGGGAGTTACTTTCAGAGGTTCATTTCCTGAAGTAATTTTCTGTGTGGAAAGTTTAAGACTTGAAACCCAGAAGTTTTAAAGATCTCTTCTCAAATGTAACCACAAGCTTTGTATGCCAGATTTTTTTTACTGAAACCATCAAGCATTTATACTTGAAATATCCAAGTCTGTTCAAATAAAGTTCTTGTTATTTTTACCAACTTATACCAGCCTCAGTGTGAATACCTTTGTGGTAAAAGTGTTATTCAGGTCAGCTTTTTACCAGCCACTAAGAAAACTAGAGTAACACAGAGTGTGTTACTGAGCAACCTCTCAATAGTACCTCAGCCTGTTCTTTAGTAATATGGTGGCAGCGGAAATATTTTTAAAGAATCATTTTTAAGTCTCTCGGTTCCAGTGGTTCCCAGTTCCTAACTTCTAAATATACAGTTGGTTTCAACAACCATTCTCCCTCTATATTTTTGATGAGCTAATCTGGAGTGGTGTCATCGTTATAATTTGGTAGGCTGCTGTGCAATTCTTTATAATTTGGTGGAACAGTGGGTTGATTTGTTATAAGGTACATGTAAATGTTGCAATTTGCCACCTTCATTAGAACTTAATGGCCTGTAGTTTCAAGGCCTGGCTGTTTGCTGCCTGGGGGAATCCTTTGTTGGGAGGTGTGAGCTGGCCCTAATTGATTCTTGTTTGGAATTCCCATGCTTTTTGAGTCTTGCTCTTTATTTGCTCTAACAAATAAAGAGCAAGAAACCAGACCCCACAACTACTGCCATAGATGTGGGTGAAATGTCAGGAGAGAATGCTTCTGGAACATAGCCACACAGCCCGGAAAACTCACAGCAACGCAGTGATTCCACCAGGAAAGCCTTCAACAACACATAGACTGTCTACATCACCATCTTCTCACCCACAGAAAACCAAGATAATAAAATCTAAGAAACCAGAGTTGAAGTGGCATGCCCCGACTCTGGCAGTCTTTAGGAGGAGCCTGAAAACGTGGTCGTTCCAGTGTGCCTTCCCAGAATAAGGAAACTCCCAGCAATATGTCCTCTAAATGCACTTTATTATGGATCTAGGAGTGTCTGCACGCCCATCCCTCTCTGAAAACTCTATCCTACTCATATTTCACCTGTTCATGCTCCGCATTATTTTTAAATTTTAATTATTACATTTGGCCCAACCATAGGTTTTTAAACGTCGTTGTGTTACCGTTAATGTTTATTGCTTATTTTCTGTTATGAGTTTTATTTTTATTGTTTTGTATTACTTGTTGTTATTGTTTTTATTATTGATGTATTGTGGGCTCGGCCTCATGTAAGCCACACCGAGTCCCTTGGGGAGATGGTAGCGGGGTATAAATAAAGTTTTATTATTATTACTAGCTGTCCCCTGCCACGTGTTGCTGTGGCGCAGTCTGGTGATCTGGAAAATAAAGTAATGAGAAAGTGTTGGTTTTTAATATATGTAATTCCTTTATGCTTGTGAGTAAACAGTATTTCTTGTTGTTTCTTCGTCAGTGTTGATGTGGAGAGTGTCTGGTTTGCCTACTCTGGAGTATGCAACATATCATAGTCCTTCTTTATGGGTCTCTTTCAAATCTGTGATACTATATCTCTCTGTGTGTGAGAATCATATCTATCTATTTATATTTATGACTGGATGGCTCTTTGTCAGGAGGGCTCTGATTACAGTTTCTTGCCCTGGTGAAGAGAGTTGGACTGGATGGCCTTAAATATTTTCTGTTGGTCATGGGGGTTCTGTGTGGGAAGTTTGCCCCATTTCTGTCATTTATGGGTTTCAGAATGCTCTTTAATTGTAGTGAACTATAAATCCCAGTAACTACAACTCCCAAATGTCAAGGTCTATTTCCCCCAAACTCCATCTGTGTTCATATTTGGGCATATGGAATATTCGTGCCAAGTTTGGTCCAGATCCATCATTGTTTGAGTCCACAGTGCTCTCTGGATGTAGGTGAACTACAACTCCCAAACTCAAGGTCAATGCCACCAAACCCTTCTAGTGTTCTGTTGGTCATGGAAGTCCTGTATGCCATGTTTGGTTGAATTCCATCATTGGTGGAGTTCAGAATGCTCTTTGATTGTAGGTGAACTATAAATCCCACAACTACAACTCCCAAATGTCAAGGTCTATTTCCCTTAAACTCCCATCTGTGTTCATATTTGGGCATATGGAATATTCGTGCCAAGTTTGGTCCTGATCCATCATTGTTTGAGTCCACAGTGCTCTCTGGATGTGGGTGAACTACAATTCCCAAACTCAAGGTCAATGTCCACCAACCCTTCTAGTGTGTTCTGTTGGTCATGGAAGTCCTGTATGCCATGTTTGGTTGAATTCCATGATTGGTGGAGTTTAGAATGCTCTTTGATTGTAGGTGAACAATAAATCCCAACAACTACAACTCCCAAATGTCAAGGTCTATTTCCCTTAAACTCCATCTGTGTTCATATTTGGGCATATGGAATATTCGTGCCAAGTTTGGTCCAGATCCATCATTGTTTGAGTCCACAGTGCTCTCTGGATGTGGGTGAACTACAATTCCCAAACTCAAGGTCAATGTCCAACAAACCCTTCTGGTTTTTTCTTTGGTCATGGGAGCCCTGTGTGCTAAGTTTGGCCCAATTCCATCATTGGTGGAGTTCCGAATGCTCTTTGATTGTAGGTAAACTATAAATCCCAGCAACGACAATTCCCAAATGACAAAATCAATTTTTTTGAGTGGAGGACATAAATTGGCTTGTTAGGTGTCTTGTGTCCAAATTTGGTGTCAATTCCCCCAGTGGTTTTTGAGTTCTGATGGTATCACAAACGAACATTACATTTTTATTTATATAGATTATTATTATTATTATTATTATTATTATTATTATTATTATTATTATTAGTGGTCGATCCCATGCAATTTTCTGGGCTGTATTATCCACATGCAAACTGCAACAGTTTGCTTTTGTCTGAGTTGACAGGGAAGAGCAAGATTTTGCCTTCTTCTTTCTCCCTTGTTGAATTAACAGACTGCTAACCCTGTGAATGACGGTATGCATCTCTAATGTGTGGCCTCCCTTGTATCTCTTTCCTCCTCTAAGTCTTTGTGAACTATCCAATAGCGCTTATCTTTTGCTGCCCAGATCATTATATTCTCAATAAAGATGTACGTTTATACAGGGCTGAATGCTTAATGGTTTAGTTGTCAGCCCAGCACAAAAAGGAGAAAGGTGCAGCTGGCTTCCTCCCCATTCACCAGGTTATCTCCGAAGGCTTCTGCCATCGTCCTTTTGTGTATGACTCTGGTAATGGAGTCAAACTAAAGGGGATAAGGCTATTTGTCTCACTAAAGCTGCAGGACTGGAAATAGATTTACGCATGAAGATGTTTGTACAGCACAACCCCCGTATCGGCAAGACCAGTATCCAGTTTCATTTATCCACTTCTGACAAATATGGTCCTTCAATGCATTTGTAAGGTCCTAGAATCATAGAATCATAGAATCATAGAATCAAAGAGTTGGAAGAGACCTCATGGGCCATCCAGTCCAACCCCCTGCCAAGAAGCAGGAATATTGCATTCAAATCACCCCTTACAAATGGCCATCCAGCCTCTGCTTAAAAGCTTCCAAAGAAGGAGCCTCCACCACACTCCGGGGCAGAGAGTTCCACTGCTGAACGGCTCTCACAGTCAGGAAGTTCTTCCTCATGTTCAGATGGAATCTCCTCTCTTGTAGTTTGAAGTCATTGTTCCGCGTCCTAGTCTCCAAGGAAGCAGAAAACAAGCTTGCTCCCTCCTCCCTGTGGCTTCCTCTCACATATTTATACATGGCTATCATATCTCCTCTCAGCCTTCTCTTCTTCAGGCTATACATGCCCAGTTCCCTAAGCCGCTCCTCATAGGGCTTGTTCTCCAGACCCTTGATCATTTTAGTCACCCTCCTCTGGACACATTCCAGCTTGTCAATATCTCTCTTGAATTATGGTGCCCAGAATTGGACA